ACCCCACGTATCACTCTTTCACACGCCATGTTAATCTTTGACACACCACGTATCTATCTTTGACACGCCACGTATCACTCTTTCACACGCCACGTATCAATCTTTGACACGCCACATAACACTCTTTGACACGCCACGTATCACTCTTTCACACGCCACGTATCACTCTCACATGCCACGTATCAATTTTTAACACGCCAATTATCTCTCTTTGACACGCCACGTATCACTCCCACACACTCTACGAATCACTCTTTGACACGCTCTGTATCACTCTTTGACACGCCACGTATCACTCTTTGACACGCTCTGTATCACTCTTTGACACGCCACGTATCACTCATTGACACGCTCTGTACCACTCTTTGACACACCACGTATCACTCTTTGACATGCTCTGTATCTCTCTTTGACACCCCATGTACCACTCTTTGACACGCCACGTGTCGCTCTTTGACTCGCCACGTATCACTCTTTCACACACCACATATCACTCTTACACACGCCACGTATCACTCTTACACACGCCACGTATCACTCTTACACACGCCACATATCACTCCTACACACGCCACCTATCACTCTATGACACGCCACGTGTCGCTCTTTGGTTGGTCGTCACTGTGGCCACAACACCCGGGTGAGAGTGGCCTAGCTGTACCCACAACGCCGAGGTGAGAGTGGCCCAGCAGGGGACACATCATCATTGCCGGCAGAGCTCAGCAAAGTGGCCACCAACCCTGGCCCTTAACCTGTTGTTGACCGCCCTGGAAACAAGATTGGCTAGAGAGCAACGTTGGTGTGCCGGAATGAACATTGCCTGTTATGACGCAACACTGGTGAAAGCAACCTTGGTGGCTGGGGAGTAACATTGGTGGCTGAGGAGTAACACTGACGGCTGGGGAGCAACACTGATGGCTGAGGAGCTGCACTGGTGTCTGGGGAGTTACACTGGTGTCTGGGGAGTTACACTGGTGTCTGGGGAGTAACACTGGTGACTGGGAAGCAACAGTGGTGGCTGGGGAGTAACTCTGGTGGCTGGGGAGTAACACTGGTGGCTGGGAAGCAACACTGGTGGATGGGAAGTAACTGTGGTAGCTGGGGAGTAACTCTGGTGGCTGGGGAGTAACTCTGGTGGCTGGGGAGTAACTCTGGTGGCTGGGAGTAACACTGGTGGCTGAGGAACAACGCTGGTCGCTGGGGAACAATATTAGTGGCTGAAAACAACACTGGTGGCTGGGGAACAAACGCTTGTGGCTGGGGGGAACAACACTGGTGGTTGGGGGAACAACACTGGTGGCTGGGGAACAACACTGGTGTGCTTGAGAAAAACACTGCGGCTGGGGGAACAAACACTTGTGGTTGGGGAACAAATACAGGTGGCCAGAACAACACTGGTGGCTGGGAACAAACACGAACAGTGCTGGGGAACAACACTGTGGCTGGGGAACAACACTGGTGGATGGGGAACAACACTGTGGCTGGGAACAACACAGGGCTGGGGAAACAACACGGGTGGCTGGGGAACAACACTGGTGGCTGGGGGAACAACACGGGTGGCTGGGGAACAACACATAAAATTGGGGAACAACACTGGTGCTGGGGAACAAACACTGGTGGCTGGGGAACAACACTGGGTGGCTGGGGAACAACACAGGTGGCTGGGGAACAAACACTCAGGCCAGAACAACACGGGTGGCTGGGGAACAACATCAGTGGCCAGGGGAACAACACTGGTGGCTGGGGAACAACACTGGTGGCTGGGGAACAACACAGGTGGCTGTGAACGGTGGTTGGGGAACAACACTGGTGGCTGGGGAACAAACACGCGGTGGCTGGGGAACAACACTGGTGGCTGGGGGAACAACACTGGTGGCTGGGGAACAACACGGGTGGCTGGGGAACAACACTGGTGGCTGGGGAACAACACTGGTGGCTGGAGAACAACACTGGTGGCTGGGGAACAACATCTGGTGGCTGGGGAAACAACACCACTGGTGGCTGGGGAACAACACGGGTGGCTGTGGAACAACACTGGTGGCTGGGGAACAACACTGGTGGCTGGAGAACAACACTGGTGCTGGGGAACAACACTGGTGGCTGGGGAACAAATACGGTGGCTGGGGAACAACACTGGTGGCTGGGGAACAACACTGTGGTGGCTGGGGAACAACACTGGTGGCTGGGGAACAACACGGGTGGCTGGGGAACAAACACGGGTGGCTGGGGGAACAACACTGCATGGGGAACAACACAGGCTGGGGAACAACACTGGTGCTGGGGAACAACACTAGTGGCTGGGGAACAACACTGGTGGCTGGGGAACAACACTGGTGGCGGGGAACAACACTGGTGGCTGGGGAACACAGGTGGCTGGGGAACAACACGGTGGCTGGGGAAACAACACGGGTATGGGGAACAACACGGGGTGGCTAACAACACGGGTGGGCTGGGGGAACACTGGTGGCTGGGGAAGAACACTGGTGCTGGGGAACAACACAGGTGGCTGGGGAACAACACAGGTGGCTGGGGAACAACACGGTGGCTGGGGAACAACACAGGGCTGGGGAACAACACAGGTGGCTGGGGGAACAACACAGGTGGCTGGGGGGAAACAATACAGGTGGCTGGGGAACAACACGGGTGGCTGGGGAACAACACGGGTGGCTGGGGAACAACACGGGTGGGTTGGGGAACAACACTGGTGGCTGGGGAAACAACACAGGTGGCTGGGAACAACACGGGTGGCTGGGAACAACACGGGGTGGGCTGGGGAACAACACGGGTGAAGTTGGGGGAAATACGGTGGCTACAGGTGGCTGGGGAACAACACAGGTGGCTGGGGAAATGAACACGGGTGGCTGGGGAACAACACAGGTGGCTGGGGAACAACACAGGTGGCGTGTGGAACAACACAGGTATGGGGAACAACACAGGTGGCTAGGGAACAACACAGGTGGCTGGGGAACAACACGGGTGGCTGTGGGGAACAACACGGGTGGTTGCTGGGGGAACAACACTGGTGGCTGGGGGAAATAAATACAGGTGGCTGGGGAACAACACGGGTGGCTGGGGAAACAACACGGGTGGCTGGGGAACAACACGGGTGGCTGGGGAACAACACGGGTGGCTGGGGAACAACACTGGTGGCTGGGGAAGAACACTGGTGGCCTGGGGAACAACACAGGTGGCTGGGGAACAACACAGGTGGCTGGGGAACAACACAGGTGGTTGGGGAACAACACAGGTGCTGGGGAACAACACGGGTGGCTGGGGAACAACACGGGTGGCTGTGTGAACAACACACGGGTGGCTGGGGAACAACACTGGTGGCTGGGGAACAACACTGGTGGCTGGGGAACAACACAGGTGGCTGGGAACAACACAGGTGGCTGGGGAACAACACAGGTGGCTAAACAACACAGGTGGCTGGGGAACAACACTAGTGGCTGGGGAACAACACTGGTGGCTGGGGAAACAACACTGGTGGCTGGGGGAACAACACTGGTGGCTGGGGAACACAGGTGGCTGTAAACAACACAGGTGGCTGGGGGAAACAACACTGGTGGCTGGGGAACAACACAGGTGGCTGGGGAACAACACTAGTGGCTGGGGAACAACACTGGTGGCTGGGGAACAACACTGGTGGCTGGGGAACAACACAGGTGGCTGGGGGAACAACACTAGTGGCTGTGGGGGAACAACACTGGTGGCTGGGGAACAAATACTGGTGGCTGGGGGAACAACACAGGTGGTTGGGGAACAACACAGGTGGCTGGGGAACAACACTGGTGGCTGGGGAACAAACACGGGTGGCTGGGGAACAACACTGGTGGCTGGGGAACAACACTGGTGGCTGGGGAACAACACTGGTGGCTGGGGAATGTAAACACTGGTGGCTGGGGAACAACACTGGTGGCTGGGAACAACACAGGTGGCCAAAACAACACGGGTGGCTGGGGGAACAACACTGGTGGCTGGGGAACAACACTGGTGGCTGGGGAACAACACAGGTGGCTGGGGGAACACTGGTGTATAAACACTGGTGTATGGGGAACAACACAGGTGGCTGGGGAATATTATGGCATCCCATTGTTCCTTGCCCTTCACCAGGTCTCAGCAATATTGCGAAGCCAAATTTCGGTGACTTGTGTCTTGTTGCAAATTGTTTCCCGGAGGCAATGGTGCAGCTTCACCCAGCCAGAGATTAACAACAACGCAGAATGAATTGATACCCGATTATTGTGGTTAGATATCAAGTGGATTTCAGAACTGCTTTATAGTGAGTGATCGAAAAAAATGTACACAAGCAATAATTGATTTTAACAAGAATTTTTAGGTTTTTCCCATGGTATTTGTTGTGATTCATTCGAGTTTGACCTTCATTACGTCGGAATTTAGTCGTTTTTTAGTTATCCCCTACAAAAAAAAAATAATTGCTTTAACCCAATTAGGAGTGAATCTGCAGTAATACCGATCAAGGTAAATAACTATAGCGTTAATTAGTACATTTGAATAGGGACTTTTCGTTGACCTTAGCAGTTATGATTGACCGAGAGACATAATATTGAATCTCAGTTATACGCTGGTAAAGGTGATCACTTAGTTCATATACTGGTGTTTGTTTCATAATTATTATTAAACGGTCGTGAAGACATTTACTGTTCAAGAGACTAACTACCAATATTGATAATGTCCCAATTATTCCTACTCAATTAGTCTAGTTATCGACAATAGCTCCGGAAGTGATTAGGGACGAGCAACACTGAAGGCCGGAGAGCGTACTGGTGACTGGGGAGTTACACAGACGGCTGGGGAGTCATGCTAACGGCTGGGAAATCGTGCTGACGGCTGGGAAGTTATACTGGCGGTTGGGGAAGTTATACTGGCGGCTGGGGAGTTATACTGATGGCTGGGGAGTTATACTGGTGGCGAGGCAGTTATACTGGTGGCAGGGGAGTTATACTGGTGGCTGGGGAGTTATACTGGTGGCTGGGGAGTTATACTGGTGGCTGGGGAGTTATACTGGTTGCTGGGCAGTAATACTGGTGACTGAGGAGTAACACTGGTGGCTGGGCAGCAACACCGGTGGCTGGGGAGTAACACAGGTGGCTGGGGTGTATATTGGTGCCTGGGGAACACTGGTGGCTGGGCAGTAACACTGGTGGCTGGGAGTAACACTGGTGGCTGGGCAGTAACATTGGTGGCTGGGTAGTAACATTGGTGGCTGGGGAGTAACATTGGTGGGCAATACTGGTGTCTGGGGAGTAACATTGGTGGCTGGAGAGTAACATTAGTGGCTGGGCAGTAGCACTGGTGGCTGGGCAGTAACACTGGTGGCTGGGAGTGCCATTGGTGGCTGGAGAGTAACATTGGTGGCTCGGCTGTAACACTGGTGGCTGGGCAGTAACACTGGTGGCTGGGGAGTAACATTGGTGGCTGGGGATTAACATTGATGGCTGGGCAGTAACACTGGTGGATGAGGAGTAACTTTGGTGGCTGGGGAGTAACATTGGTGGCTGGTCAGTAACACTGGTGGCTGGGCAGTAACAGTGGTGGCTGGGGAGTAACACTGGTGGCTGGGGAGTAACATTGGTGGCTGGGCAGAAACACTGGTGGCTGGGAACATTGGTGGTTGGGCTGAACTGGTGCGCAGTAACACTGGTGGCTAGTGGTAACACTGGTGGCTGGGCAGTACTACTGGTGGCTGGGCAGTAACACTGGTGGCTGGGCAGTAACTTGGTGGCTGGAGCAACATTGGTGGCTGGAGTCATGGTGGCTCGGCTGTAACACTGGTGGCTGGGCAGTAACACTGGTGGCTGGGGAGTAACATTGGTGGCTGGGGATTAACATTGATGGCTGGGCAGTAACACTGGTGGATGAGGAGTAACTTTGGTGGCTGGGGTAACATTGGTGGCTGGGCAGTAACACTGGTGGCTGGGCAGTAACAGTGGTGGCTGGGGAGTAACACTGGTGGCTGGGGAGTAACATTGGTGGCTGGGCAGGAACACTGGTGGCTGGGGCATTGGTGGTTGGGCTGTAACACTGGTGCCTGGGCAGTAACACTGGTGGCTAGTGAGTAACACTGGTGGCTGGGCAGTAATACTGGTGGCTGGGCAGTAACACTGGTGGCTGGGCAGTAACTTTGGTGGCTGGAGCGTAACATTGGTGGCTGGGGAGTAACACGGGTGGCTGGACAGTACCATTGGTGGCTGGGGAGTAACACTGGTGGCTGGGGAGGAACATTGGCGGCTGGGCAGTAACACTGGTGGCTGGGGAGAAACATTGGTGGCTGGGCTGTAACACTGGTGGCTGGGGAGTAACATTGGTGACTAGGGAGTAACACTGGTAGCTGGGGAATAACATTGGTGGCTGGGGAGTAACACTGGTAGCTGGGGAGTAACATTGTTGACTGCAGAGTAACCTTGGTTTCTGGGCAGTAACAATGGTGGCTGGGCAAGTACATTGGTGGCTGGGGAGTAACACTGGTGGCTGGGGAGTAACACTGGTGGCTGGGGAGTAACATTGGTGGCTGGGGAGTAACATTGGTGGCTGGGCAGTAACATTGGTGGCTGGAGAGTAACAGTGGTGGCTGGGCAGTAACATTGGTGGCTGGGCAGTAACATTGGTGGCTGGGCAGTAACACTGGTGGCTGGGCAGTAACACTGGTAGCTGGGGATTAACATTGGTGGCTGGGGAGTAACACTGGTGGCTGGGCAGTAACACTGGTGGCGGGGAGTAACATTGGTGGCTGGGCAGTAACACTGGTGGCTGGGGATTAACATTCGTGGCTGGAGAGTAACATTGGTGGCTGGGCGTAACATTGGTGGCTGGGCAGTAACATTGGTGCCTGGGGAGTAACATCGGTGCCTGGGGAGTAACATTGGTAGCTGGGGAGTAACCTTGGTGGCTGGAGGTATCATTGGTGGCTGGGCAGTAACACTGGTGTGTGGGCAGTAACTTTGGTGGCTGGGGGTAACTGGTGGCTGGGGAGTAACACTGAGTGGCTGGGGAGTAACATTGGTGACTGGGCAGTAACACTGGTGGGTGGGCAGTAACTGGTGGCTGGGGAGTAACACTAGTGGCTGGGGACACATTGGTGGCTGGGCAGTAACATTGGTGGCTGGGCAGTAACACGGGTGGTTGGACAGTACCACTGGTGGCTGGGGAGTAACACTAGTGGCTCAGGGAGTAACATTGGTGGCTGGGCAGTAACACTGGTGGCTGGGGAGAAACATTGGTCTGGGCTGTAACACTGGTGGCTGGGCAGTAACACTGGTGGCTGGGGGTAACATTGGTGGCTGGGGAGTAACATTGTTGACTGCAGAGCAACCTTGGTGGCTGGGCAGTAACACTGGTGGCTGGGCGTAACATTGGTGGCTGGGGATTAGCACTGGTGGCTGGAAACATTGGTGGCTCAGGCTGTAACACTGGTGGCTAGGCAGTAACTTTGGTGGCTGGGGAGTAACATTGGTGGCTGGGCAGTAACACTGGTGGCTGGGCAGTAACAGTGGTGGCTGGGGAGTAACACTGGTGGCTGGGGAGAACATTGGTGGCGGGGAGTAACATTGGTGGCTGGGAAGTAACACTGGTGGATGGGGAGTAACATTGGTGGCTGGGCAGTAACACTGGTGGCTGGGGAGAAACATTGGTGGTTGGGCTGTAACACTGGTGGCTGGGCAGTAAATTTGGTGGCTGGGCGTAACATTGGTGGCTGGGGAGTAACACGGGTGGCTGGACAGTACCACTGGTGGCTGGGGAGTAACATTGGTGGCTGTGGAGTAACACTGGTGGCTGGGGAATACTGTTGACTGCAGAGTAACCTTGGTTTCTGGGCAGTAACATTGGTGGCTGGGCAGTATCGGTGCCTGGGAAGTATCGGTGCCTGGGGAGTAACATTGGTGGCTGGGCAGTACATTGGTGGCTGGGGTAACATTGGTGGTTGGGGAATACACTGGTGGCTGGGGAGTAACATTGGTGGCTGGGCAGTAACATTGGTGGCAGGTAACATTGGTGGCTGGGCAGTAACATTGGTGGCTGGGCAGTAACATCGGTGCCTGGGGAGTAACATCGGTGCCTGGGGAGTAACAGTGGTGGCTGGGGAGTAACCTTGGTGGCTGGAGTATCATTGGTGGCTGGAGAGTAACATTGGTGTCTCGGTAGTAACATTGGTGGCTGGAGAGTAACATTGGTGTCTGGGCAGTAACACTGGTGGCTGGGGAGTAACATTGGTGGCTGGGGAGTAACACTGGTGGCTGGGCAGTAACACTGGTGGCTGGGGAGTAACATTGGTGGCTGGACAGTAACATTGGTGGCTGGGCAACACTGGTGGCTGGGCAGTAACACTGGTGGCTGGGGATTAACATTGGTGGCTGGAGAGTAACATTGATGGCTGGGCAGTAACACTGGTGGCTGGGCAGTAACACTGGTGGCTGGGCAGTAACACTGGTGGCTGGGGAGTAACATTGGTGGCTGGGGATTAACATTGGTGGCTGGAGAGTAACATTGATGGCTGGGCAGTAACACTGGTGGCTGGGGAGTAACATCGGTGGCTGGGCAGTAACACTGGTGGCTGGGGAGCAAACATTGGTGGCTGGGGAGTAACATTGGTGGCTGGGGATTAACACTGGTGGCTGGAGAGTAACATATATGGCTGGGCAGTAACACTGGTGGCTCGGCAGTAACACAGGTGGCTGGGCAGTAACACTGGTGGCTGGGAGTAACATTGGTGGCTGGGGATTAACATTGGTGGCTGGAGAGTAACATTGATGGCTGGGCAGTAACACTGGTGGCTGGGGAGTAACATTGGTGGCTGGGCAGTAACACTGGTGGCTGGGGGAGTAACATTGGTGGCTGGGGATTAACATTGGTGGCTGGAGAGTAACATTGATGGCTGGGCAGAAACACTGGTGGCTCGGCAGTAACACAGGTGGCTGGGCAGTAACACTGGTGTGCTGGGCAGTAACACTGGTGGCTGGGCAGTAACATTGGCTACCAAGGAATTGTATTTCAGGGATGATTTAGATTCGCTGTTGAAGAACTCCGGAATATAAAGGTTAAACTGGTGGTGGTATGCGACTTTGTCTGTCTCTGTTACGATACGCAATATAGTATGGCTGTTTCTACCAAGATTCTCCCTAAATAGATAAAAAAAATTATGTAAAAAAGTTAAAATAAATCAGTAAAGAGCTGACGTATAAGTCTATATTCGGCTTTTTTTTTTATTATAATGAACAAAGACAAAAATTTATTGTTGAAAAAGTAATTTCTTATTAATTCAAGCATGAAGGAATTATGATGAATTTCTTTACAGTAGGCGTGAAAATAATAAAAGTACAATCTATATGAAACTCCCAACAAATTCTGAGTAAATTATTAATGAAAAAAAAATATATATTAATAAATAAATAAATAAATAAATATATATATATATATATATATATATATATATATATATATATATATAGGACGAGGTATGTCTTAGCTTTTAGAGGTTATCCTGTGCGTGCGTGCGTGCGTGCGTGTAATAATAATAAATATTTATAATAAGTAAAAATAATAAATATTAATAATTAGCGGTTTATTGCAAGAACATGGCATCCAAAAGGAAAATAATAGTTACATAATTGGAGAATGGGTCACTTGATTGAGAAATAATATACAAGTAACATAAATGATACAAATATGATATATAATAACTAAGTGAGGAGAAGGTCATACAGCAGGGAATTTCAACATAGTAACAGTACGAAAGTAAGACTGGCTGGGAGGGAAGACACCGGTTGACTAGGAGTTGTTGATAATATTTATGGTTGGGACTGAGCTGTTCTTCTAGTGGTCAGTTCGTGCTCGCATGGGCTGGATGCGGTTGTGGTGTCGAACAGCAATTTGCGGACGAGGGATCTCAGGTGGAAGCAGGACCCGGTGTCGAGGATGGTGCAGAAGTTTCAAATTTGTAAATGAGGTCGCGGTGATGAATAGAGAGAGCCGAGAGGGTCAGTGTGCTGACCGATTCTTGATATGCGGAGGAGGAAGGGGAGAGAATAATCTTGCACGCGCTCTCGTCTGAACTCTTTCTTGGTGTTTCCTTTGTGTCAAATTTAGGGAGGAAGACCAGGCTGTGTGTGTGTGTGTGTGTGTGTGTGTGTGTGTGTGTGTGTGTGTGTTTCTTGCCTGATGGTCTTCACGCTAGGTAGTGCAATGTGTTGCCTGGTGGATCTCACTAGGTAGATCTCACGCTAGGTAGTGTTATGTGCCTGGTGGATCACGCCAGGTAGTGTGTTGCCTGGTGGATCTCACTCTAGGTAGTGTTATGTGTTGCCTGGTGGATCTTACGCTCAGGTAGTGCAATGTGTTGCCTGGTGGATCTCACGCTAGGTAGTGTTATGTGTTGCCTGGTGGATCTCACGCTAGGTAGTGTTATGTGTTGCATGGTGGACTTCACGCTGGGTTTACAGGCTTCAGAGACAATAATTCTAGCCAAGGTTCGTGAATAATGAAGCATAATATTTTCTTGATCCACTGAGAGTCCATTAGCGTTAATGAAGCTACAACTAGCGCTGGGGTTTACCTAGAAGAGGAAAATTGGGATCACCTGTAGATTCAACATTCCAGTTTATTTCTCATGGTGATTAAACACCCTACAGCTACCTTGAGGGGTATTACGTTAGATTAGGTTAGGTAAGGGTAAGGTGCAGTATGATTATGTTAGGTTAAAGTTAGTTCAATTAAGTCTGACCCTCTATATACAGACCTGTTCAGAAATTCGGTAAAAAGAAAAATTCTATAAAATTATCACTATGTTGCAATTATCTCTTAAAAAACACGACGGGGACATGCTGAAAGAAGTTGTGTACCGAGTGTATGAGAGGAGTAGTGTACCGAGTGTATGAGAGAAGTCGTGTACCGAGTGTTTGGGAGAAGTAGTGTACCGAGGTTTGAGAGAAGTAATGTACCGAGTGTTTGAAGACGTTGTAACTGAGTGTATGAGAGAAGTAGTGTACCGAGTGTATGAGAGAAGTAATGTACCGAGTGTTTGGAAGATCGAGGTACCGAGTGTATTAGAGAAGTAGTGTACCGAGTGTATGAGAGAAGTAATGCACGAGTGTTTAAGAATTGTGTACCGAGTGTATTAGAGAAGTAGTAAATCGAGTGTATGAGAGAAGTAATGTACCGAGTGTTTGGAAGACGTTGTAAAATGAGGTTTGAGAGAAGTAGTGTACCGAGTGTATGAGAAAAGTAGTTAATGAGTGCTTGAGAGAAGTAGTGGACCGAGTGTATGAGAGAAGTATTGTACCGAGTGTTGGAAGAAATTGTGTACCGAGTGTTTGAGAAGATGTAATGAGTGTTTGAAAGAAGTAGTGTACCGAGTGTATGAGAGAAGTTGTGTACCGAGTGATTGAGAGAAGTATTGTACCGAGTGTTTGAAGAAATTGTGTACCGAGTGTTTGGAAGAAATTGTTACCGAGTGTTTGAAGAAATTGTGTACCAAGTGTATGAGAGAAGTCGTGTACCGTGTTTGAGAGAAGTAGTGTACCGAAGTTTGGAAGAAATTGTGTACCGAGTGTATGAGAGAAGTTGTACCGAGTGTTTGGAAAGAAATTGTACCGAGTGTTTAAAGAAATTGTGTACCGAGGTATGAGAGAAGTAGTGTACCGTGTTTGAGAAGAAGTAGTGTACCGAGTGTTGGAAGAAATTGTGCAATGAGTATGAGAGAAGTTGTGTACCGAGTGTTTGAAGAAATTGTGTACCGAGTGTATGAGAGAAGTCGTGTACCGAGTGTTTGAGGAAGTCGTGTACCAAGTTTGAGAGAAGTAGTGTACCGAGTGTTTCGTGTACCGAGTGTTTGAGTGAAGTCGTACCGAGTGTTGAGTGAGTCGTGTACCGAGTGTTTGAGTGAAGTCGTGTACCGAGTGTTTGAGTGAAGTCGTGTACCGAGTGTTTGAGAAGTAGTGTACCGAGTGTTTGAGAGAAGTCGTACCGAGTGTATGAGAGAAGTAGTGTACCGAGTGTTTGAGAGAAGTAGTGTACCGAGTGTTGAGTGAAGACGTATCGAGTATGAGAGAAGTTGTGTACCGAGTGTTTAAGAAATTGTGTACCGAGTGTATGAGAGAAGTAGTGTACCGAGTGTTTGAGAGAAGTCGAGTGTTTGAGTGAAGTAGTGTACCGAGTGTTTGAGTGAAGTAGTGAACCGAGTGTTTGAGAAAAGTAGTGTACCGAGTGTTTAAGAGAAGTAGTGTACCGAGTGTTTGAGAAATGTGTACCGAGTGTTTGAGGAAGTAGTGTACCGAGTGTTTGAGTGAAGTAGTGTACCGAGTGTTTGAGTGAAGAAACTGAGTGTTTGAGAAAAGTAGTGTACCGAGTGTTTGAGAGAAGTAGTGTACCGAGTGTTTGAAAGAAGTCGTGTACCGAGTGTATGAGAGAGTGTACCGAGTGTAGGAGAGAAGTTGTGTACCGAGTGTTTGAGAGAAGTAGTGTACCGAGTGTTTGAAAGAAGTCAGTGAAAGTGTATGAGAAGTGTGTACCGAGTGTTTAAGAGAAGTAGAATCGAGTGTTTGAGAGAAGTCGTGAACCGAGTGTTTGAGGGAAGTAGTGTACCGAGTGTTTGAGTGAAGTAGTGTACCGAGTGTTTGAGTGAAGTAGTGTACCGAGTGTTTGAGAAAAGTAGTGTAACGAGTGTTAGAGAGAAGTAGTGTACCGAGTGTTTGAGAAAGTAGTGTACCGAGTGATTGAGAGAAGTCGTGTACCGAGTGTTTGAGTAAAGTATTGTACCGAGTGATTGAGAGAAGTCGTGTACAATGAGTGTTTAAGAGAAGTTGTGTACCGAGTGTTTAAGAGACGTTGTGTACCGAGTGTTTAAGAGAAGTCGTGTACCGAGTGTTTGAGATAAGTTTGTGTGCCGAGTGTTTGACCAGCAAGTTTTTGGTAGAGGCGAGAACAGAGATAAACAGTAAAAAGTTCAGAACGGAAACAATTTATGGTAATGAGATGAAAGTCATTAAAATTGGACGAACTCCGGAAGCAAGTGACTGAAAGGAAGTGTGTTTACGTATTCTCTCCAAAAAGTATCTTTACGATTTTAAGCTAGACAATGTGACACAATGGGCGAAGGATTTTGACAACCCTACCGAGACAACAGAAGTTAGAGTTCATTTTGAACTGATCCCTCCGTAAAGATACTTTTAGGAGCGAGTGCATAGAGGAAGAACTGGGGTATTGAAGGTTACTGGGGAGTTTACCATTGCTGACATAGGGTAAATTGAGAGGCATTGGAGATGAATAGAGGGAAGTTAAAGATGCTGTTTTGACGAGTGCATGAGAATATAAATTTTATAGAAAGATCGACTCTTCTCGTTAAGGAAATGAGTTGCTAATGTGAACGTTAGGTGAAAGAAAGAGAATGATGGAAGAAGGGAAGAGTACATGAATATTAAAATGAAAGAAGAAAGAGAAATGAAAAAATAACAGACGCCAACATGTAAGAAAGAGAACAAAGATTGTCACAAAGTCTTAGAGAGGCAAAAATAAAGAAACAAAGTCAGAAGGATGTGAATAGGTTAAGAAAGCAGAGGAAGAACAAATACAAATAACAGTTTAGAATGAAAGAGAGAAGAGGAAAATACTATGATCAATTACGGAGAGAGAGAGAGAGAGAGAGAGAGAGAGAGAGAGAGAGAGAGAGAGAGAGAGAGAGAGAGAGAGAGAGAGAGAGAGAGATATCTTGATTTGGGACACCGAACGAATGACAAGTGACAAGAGTTGATGTTCTGACCTCACTGGGGGAAAAGATCGCGACAAGGGGTAGCTCAGGAGGGATAATTATCAGATATGGCCAGTGCTATGTGCTATATGCTATGTGCACCAGTCA